TGAAGCTCAACTGAACATTTCGTTCGCAGACAGGGTGTGGCTAAAAATAGTACGTCAAACAATGCATTTTTATCGTTAATGGTTTGAGGAAATTTGAAATTGGGCCAAACTTTAAAAAACATTTGTGATGATCGCTATGTTTATATAGCTGTAATGCTACGTCATCGGCATTACTTTATCCGTTATTCCTCTTCCTGTAGTGGCGTTGATAACACGATGCCTTGGGGATTGTTGTTGTAACTTCGCGGACATTTTTTATTCGCTTTCCTCTAATTGTAAACTTTTTATGTGAGTTATTTACGAAACGATTGAATATCAGTCGATGAGAATAAGAGTCGATGAGTAATGAATATTGCTATTTAGTCGTCACTTTTATTCAACCGCTTGGTCAGGGTGACTGGCTAGATTTTGGCGGTTTGATCTGAAATTGTCACACTACTTCGGCAACGTCTTCACAAACATAAAAACGCCCGGATTAACTTTAAACGCTTTACGTTCTCGGACAATGATATATGGAGTGTGGCAACCTGCTTGATAACTTTGTAATATGAAAACAAAACACACAGGAAATAATTTGCCGATGCTCAAGGTAAAATGCTTGTCACAGTCGCAAATTAAAACCCATTATCGTTTTTAATATTAATATTTTGATTTTAGTTTTGAAATACAAACTAGATGCCTACAACCAATGCTCGAGTTGTAGACCTGGCTAAAGTTATCAATGACATTATTGGGATACGAACAACAATCAATAATTCAGACTTAACTGCGCCCTCTATAGTTCGTTATGTGTTGTTAGTGTCGCATTTGAGAAGGTTGTCAACGCCTCGTCATGCACTCAGTCTTTTAAAAATTTTACACGAAATCACACCATACCAAAATAATACCCCAAACTTATGAAATCAAAGCCTCGTGGCACATAGAGCAATACAATAACGATATCCTGTTGTTTAGGGATGAGCCGTTACAAACATACATGATCCTGATATACTAAAAAGTTGTTTAATTTTTTAGCGATGAAAACTACTGCAAATAACTACATTTGTCGATTCATGTATCGCGATTAAATAGTTACAATATATGTGTGATAATGTAATATCACGTATATATATATATGAATAGTTACAGTATCGTGATGGATATGCCGGCGTACGCAGTATACGGGGCCTAAGTTGTAATTCACTGTGATCTGACTTACTTTGCCACTCTTCAGTATAAATTGTTTAATGAACTTTTGAAAAGCAAGACGTCCGGTTACTACACGCGCAACGTGGACACTGAAATTAGATGTAAAAACGAAAGATACGCCAGTTCCATCACACATGGCGATTCGACACTTATCCGGGATAGGTGTATATAATGTGCATTTCGAAATAGCCTTGCGTGAAACGAGACCATTGTGGTGGATAATATATACGCGGACTATATAAAAACAGTTGAAGGTAACGATAAAACTGTTTACAAAATGCAAACATTTAATTGAATGTGATATTTGCACCACCAACAAAATTCAATTGATTAGGGCTAGTATAGGTATAATAATATACTACATAATAAACAGTCTCACTAATATTTGAACAGTATTTTTGTGAATAAAAAATGATTTATTTCTGATTCATTCTGACGATATTCGTTCGCCAATGGAAGGATATAAAGTCAGAGTTAAATGCATTACCGAGTCAGAACCGAGGCAATAAAAATATCGTGTTTGTCATATCAACGTTTATTTTGAAATGCCCGTGTTACTGTAAGCAAAACCATATTCAATTTTGTTTGAAAAATAGCATATACACCCTACTTCGTTAATGGATGCAGATGTTAAATAATTGACAGTATGCCTTAAACAAAGCACGATGGCCTAATTTATGATAGCTATGCAAGTTCGACTTGTAATTAGCCGATTTTTTTATAATCGATGTCGATTGCGCTACGTTGCCTACACCCTGTTTATTCTCGTACACGCACATTTAGTAGTGTGCTGCCCTTCAGTTTATTTTATGGCGTCACTTACAGGGGAAAGGGCAGCATGTATTGTCAGCCTACCCATTTTTTATTCAAGTATTAATAATACAGTTGAACTGTGTACACTTTTTGCATCTGAGCACGTTTGTTCAGAACAATGTGAACACCCTATTTGAAACATTGCAAAGCTAGGTTACAATCTACGTACATTATTACAGATGGAAAAATTCTTTGTATA